GCCTGGTTCTGCTGGAGGTTTCTTCCTGTTCAAAGGGAGTTTTTCCTCTCCACTGTCGCTACAAGCATGCTTAGTGTGAGGGATTGCTGAGGAGTTAGACTCAGACAACATTTATTGTCATTTTATGTACATAGAGTGTATATAAAATGAAAATAAATGTTGGTTTTCCTTATATGAAAATGATAAACATCTCTTTAGGCTCTGGTGTTATTTTATAATGAAGACATGAAGGTGGAGAGACCTTCTGGAAAGGTCAGCAGGACCGGGACTCGAACCTGCAACAGCTGTTATGTGCTCTGCCCCACACCATAGCAGCACCCCTCAGTAGAAAACTTTGAACCAATCTGACTGGATGATCTGGTTGATCTGGATCTATAAAGTGACCTGAGATGAACTGAGCAGAACCACATTAATATGGACCAGCGGACCGATACAGAACCTCACAGCTCTGAGGCAGATCACTTGTTTATTGCTGCCATGTTCCTCGAACGCTCTGGTGCCCCGATTCACCAGAATTAACTCGGTTTCTTACTGAATGATGGAAAATTTCTGTCTAGATTTCTAAGAATGACTCGGTCTCACCACTGCCTGTATTCTTAGAGCTACCACACCCCCACTGCTGCGATGCTCTGCAGAATCCTCCAGAGAAGCTCTCAACACACCTGCCTTCAGACCGTTCAAAGTGAAAACCAAAGCCGCCAGGTCAGCCCAGGCGGAGGAGAGTTCTGCAGAACCCATTGGGCTGATCCGATGCCTAAGGCGGAAACCCGACCACGCCGATTACCTGGAAAGAAAATTCTGGGTAACACCACGCACTCACACACGCTATCAGGCTGCAGAAGAAGCTAAAGGAAACCACAGAGGCAGCAGAGTATAAATAGAAAGCAAAAGCCTTCAGGACCTGTTCTCACACCGAGACATAAACTCTCTGCTAAACATCAAGCAAACTGCTTTTCCTGACAGCCAATCAGCACAGAGTCAGAGTCATGTGACTTTGTCATGTAGCTGATTGTGGATGTTGGTCTGATGGGGTCCAAAGCCTGAACAGCAGGAGGTTTATCCTCTGCTCCAGTTAACATCTGGATGAATCAGGAGCAGCGTCATGATCTGCCCTGATAGCTGGCCTTAACTCTTCATGTCATTCACCTGCTTTCTTCTGCCAGGTCTCTATTCATGTCCGATTCCATCCACCTGAACCTTCTGCTTTATATTCAGCTCAGTCTAGCTATCTGGGCCAGATCATTATTTAATGTCTGTTGATGTCCTGTCTGTCCGTTGGTTCTGTTAGTTTTAGTTAGTTCCAAGGTTTGTGTCCTGGTGGATTTAGAGGGTTTTAGTGTTTTTCTTGTCTTCTGATCTTGTCCTGATCCTTCTCCACGGAGCCCTCAGGGTTTTGGCTCGGAACGCAGAGAAGATCAGTTTTATTCCTGTCAGCTTGGTTCCAAGGAGGAGAACACAGTCTTGTCTCTGTCCCTCAACCACTGATCCTGTCTGTCTGGGGACGATCCTGGACCCTTTCTGACTGAAACTGCCTGAACGCTCTGAGGATTGCTGGAACCCTGGATCTATCTGTTGGTTGGTGGATCGGAACCCCTGGTTGGACTACGGACCCCTGAGCTGTTTCTGCCTGATCTGTTCTCCCCTGACCTGGACCGGCAGCATCGGGGACATTCTGGGCGGCTCAGGGCTGCATCTCCTTGGGCTGATCCTGCCTATGATTGAGACGATGAACTGGACTGTTAATAAACCAGGTAAGTGACTCACTCTGATAATCATC